CCCTCTATGAAGTTCTCAAAGAGAAAAATATGTGTGGTCACTCACTGTTTGAAGACTAGAGAGGTACTATTGAAGCTCTGATGACCTTGATTCTAGTGTGGCCCTGTCAGTGACAGAGAAAGAGTTATGTGTTGATTGCACTGGCTGGAGTGCGGTCCCGGGCAGGGACGGACTGACAACTCATGGGGCCCCTGGGCAATAGGGGATCATGGGGTCCCGGTGTCCTTGCCCAAACTCAAAAAAGCCTTTGAAAAACGTACCAGGGGCATCTCATGGGGCCCCCTACTGACCCCGGGCCCTCGGGCAGTGCCCGAGTTTCCAAATGGTCAGTCCGCCCCTGGTCCTGGATTATGTGCTGCCCATCCCCGGTGCTGTCATGGAAGGATGCTAATACATGGCATCCTGAGTTGTTGTGCAAAGAAAACTTTCTCATCCACAGTACAAAACCCCCACAAGAGCTGTCTCTTAAACCCTTGTTTTAAAAAAAATATAACTGACTTATTGAGAGGATTGTTTTCCTTAACAAAACTGGTGTTTCTAGGGTTCATCACTGTTCAGTTTGCCATCACTCTCAGGTTTTTAAATATTTATGGTATTTTAAATATGCTGGGGGGGGTGCAGCTAAACTGTTGTTAACTGATGTCAGTCAACACATGTATTTTAGGTACATTAATATATGGTTGCCATTCTTCCCCGTTTCTCTGTGACAGTCCCAGTAGGGTTCTGGTTGCAGGAGATGACCATCTCCTGGAGCCGTCAGGTAGACCAAAGTTTGTAGCGCATAGGCGCAATCGGTCACACTGCATAAGCGGCAACTCCAAAATAGTGCCACTAGAGCTTCTTGCATGTGCGTGTTGACACATGCTGCCGTGCATACTTGGACTGCGCCAGGCGTGTCATTTAAAAATTAGATTGGCACTTGCAGTGGGAGTTGGGGCCTGCACATTGCAAATTTATTGTAGCTGGTGGACCGGGGACAAGTCCAGAGATGAAGCTGTTAAAAGCAAGTCTGTTACTGTGAGTAACTACTGCTGACATGATCCCTGTTACCCTGTTACAAGTGTGTTACTTATTCTGATCCCAGAACTCTGAGTAACAGACTGAATTTAGAGGTTGAGATTAGATTGCACACAGTTCAGGGTTTAAGATTAAATAGTCCCTTGAACACTATGATTTAGACCATCTTGACCCATAACAGCATGGTTTCAGGTTTAAATTGCCATACCCTTTTAAGCCCCACTCACAATTTGCCAACATCCACAATTTGCCATGGTGCGCTATGCACACCGCAACAGCTTCCATGTAATTTTTCTTTTTTTTTTTTTTTAACTTTAACAAAGAGGATGTAATTTGTGAGTGTGGTTGCAAATGAGAATAGTTTTCTAGGTGTGGTCAGTAGGGTGTCCCTGGATTTCACTTTCAAAACCTGGTAACCCTCCAGTGGAAATCTAGGTAAAATTGGGTGGACATGCAAGAAGTTTAATGCAGAAGAGATATGCTTTGTCTCTTCTGCATTAAAGCTACCTACCTGCCTGTCCACCGCTGTACAGTGAGCCACGCAGGTGCAGCTCACTGTACAAATTCGGCAATGCCAAATTTGGCAGAACTCCCACGCATGCACATGAGCGACTTCATCCCCGGCTGGCCAATGACCAGAAGGCCGGCCACCTGAAGATGTCAGCAGCCAGATGGGGAACTTCCGGACAGTGCATCGCAGTATCAGAGGTGAGTATTGTTCCCCTTTAATTAACAGCATATACTTAAGTCTGGGAGAATGACATTCCACCAACAGTTCTTCAGCCTTTTATAATAAGAGCAAGGTCAGAGCTTATTCAGGGGAACCAAAGAGTGAAAATATGGAGAAGGTTCTGCTAAGTAGAACTATTTATACAACAAAAGTATCAACTATGCTAGTGCACCTGTTGTGCTTCAAATACTGGTCAGAACTACCAACCATGGGCTAATGAGGTCCACAAAGATTAGGAGTGCCGTTTATGGGTAGGTCTCATTCAGCAGAGGGCATCTGATTGCTTTAAATGTTTACTTACAGGCCTACAATTATATTAATGTCCTTTTTTTTGTGGAGGGTTATTGTTCATGTTTATGGTTAACGTAATTCTTTCATCTATGAAAGTTCATAATTTACCCAGCCATGTTCTGAGATTGTGCTGGTTTTCCAATAAAAGTTTACATACACCTGTCATATGAGAATTATGGCATTGTTGACCTATTTTTCTGAATATGTGAGTTACCCAAGTATCATGTTTTGTGACCTGGAACAAGTATTCAGGAAAGCATTTCTAATGCTACTTTAGTGTGTCAGCATGACAACCATGCAATTAGTATTTTCAAAAGGTCAGACACAGAAATGTCAGCCCCTTTATTTAATTCATGATGGGGTTACTTTAAGGATAGATTTTTGGGGTTTTTCAGTTGATAAACTATACCATTCATTAACAAAAACTCAAAAAGTCCCAACCTGAGCCGAAATCTCTCAAATCTATCATATTTGGTAAAAACCATTGGCCTGTCCATTCCATAATACATATACTAATTGGCATAGTCCTGCTAAAACAGGGAAAGCTAGGAGTTTTGATGTTGAAGTAAACCTACAAACAAGATAGCTTCTCTAGGTTTGTTCTTAAAGCATTGTTCCAGTGAAATAAAAAATAAATTAAAGTCGGCAGCTACAAAAACTGTAGCTGCTGACTTTTAAAAAAAACAGTCACTCACCTGTCCCTCAATCCCGTGGTGTCCACCGACCCACCCCCCCACAGCCCGTTTCACCGGCCTCGCTGTGTTCCCGGCGCCGGCATCTTCAGTGTGGGCACCCAGATGTGACAGCTTGCGGCACATGCCTGAGTATCGCTGCCCTTTTGTGAATGGCCCTGTCATGTGTCCCAGAAGACTACGGGGAGGGAAACTAGGCGATCGCAGTGGAAGTGGGAGCAGGTACCTGTCGATTTCGTGTACCCGCTTCCTAAAGGTGCCAAACCTTAATGGGGAGTGGGGGACCAGTCCTAAAGTGGAGCTGACCCTTTTGGGTGTTTTGCTGTCTGTGCCCCTGTTCAGAAGAATTCACCTCACTTTCTGTCCCTGTGACAATTGGATTTTAAAAATTTGGGATGTCGTGGAAACAAGGATTGGTGATAAAGCTTCAGTGCAGACAATTTTTTCCCATGATAACTCTTAACGGAGTGAATTTTCCTTTCTAGGGGTAGATTTCCTCTCACTTCTTCTTGTCTCCTTCTGTTCTTAAGTATGAATCTTATGTAAGTCAGATGTATGTAACTTGAGGACTGCCTGTACTGGTAAAGGGCTGTGTTTTATTTTTGCATCTAAGCCTGGGTTCACATATATATATTTGTTTATTTCAGGTACTTATATAGCGCCATCAATTTATGCAGCGCTTTACACATATATATATTGTACATTCACATCAGTTGCTAACCCTTAAGGGGCGTACAGTCTAAGGTTCCTAACTTACATTCATACACAAGGGCCAATTTAGAGAGGATCCAAATAACCTACCAGCATGTCTTTGGAGTGTGGGAGGAAACTGGAATACCCGGAGGAAACCCACACAGGCACAGGGAGAGCATGCAAACTCCAGGCAGGAGGTGCCATGGCTGGGATTCGAACCAACAACCCTAGTACTGCCAGGCAGAAGTGCTAACCATTTAGCCACTGTGCCTCCCTATGCGGTTCGGCATATCGCATGTGATTCGCATCCTTTAAAATGTTTTTTAAAGGATGAAGCACTATATTTTGCTTTCTTTTTTGGCACTATATATGTGGAGTTTTGGAGTGAATATAAGGAGGAATAGACCCCTGGAGGAGAGAAGGAGAAATATCCATCCATTTATCCTCAGACCAACATAGGATAGTATAAAGTGGAGAAATACCAGGTGGATGATTAGAAAATCATAGCGTGGAACCATCCAAAGGAAGTTAAGAGCAACATTGTACTCATCTATCATTTTAGGATAAACAGCTATTTTAGCCTATACATTGGGCTAGAAAAGGAGGTGAGCGCACAAGAGAGCATTATTTATTTCGCAGCCATCCATGTGTTGGAACAAATTCATTTGTTTGTTTTTATGATATTTCATGAAAGGAGGACTTTTCTTTATTATATGTTTTTGGACACATGCTGATGGGATATATTGCTTATGGATTGTTTGTTTTTGGTCATTAATACATTTCATTTATTTTAGGAGGATGATATAAATAATTTTGTTTTTTTTTTATACAATTGTATGGTTAAAATATTTTTCATATATAATTAATTAGCACGGGAGCGCAGCACTATTGTTTGATTATATCTGATTCGCACAGGAACCGCATCGCATTCATGTGCAAATGACATGCGAGTTCTGTGCGGTGCGATTTGAGCCATACATTTTGTATGGATCAAAACGCACCGCATCCGCGCCAATCAGGTGCAGGACCCTTTTTGTGGTCCGGACTAGAATCGAATCGCATGGGTATTCACACCCATGTAATCCAAGTGTGCACATTGCACCGCGTTTTGCCATCCAATTTCGGAGTGTTGTTAACATACACACCCGAAGCGGTTCGCATGAATGGGGTGCAGTTGTGATGCGGTGCAGAATTCGTACAGAAACTGCTGCAAATTCTGCACTACATCAGTGTGAACCCAGGCTGATTTGCTAGTATTCTGCACATTTTAAAACAAGTGGCTGCAAGTGTTTGAAGTTTTCTTGGCCCTGAATTGTGTGCTGTTTACATTTTCCTTGAAGATAAGCGCACGATGAATAATAGCAAAGTCACAGCAAATCTGGTAGTTCACAGCGAGTCATGTGGTACGGTGCTGCACTTTCAGCCAAACCAGGGTGATAAAGAGAGCATACTATTGGCTTCATGTTCTGTCAGGCAGACCAAACCCACAAATACAGGGTTCCATAATAACAGATTTTCTCCATCCTGAAACTTGATGACTGGGTGTCTGACTGCAGGCTTTGAAATCCTTTCTGCAGGGAGCAATTGTCGATTCAAAGAAGCAGACAGCCGGCGAGAGGGAAAATTCTGAGGACGCTCGTTTGTCACACTGCAGCAGTAGCAGAGGGAGCTCTTCAGTAAGGTAAGGTGCTCTTCCTGCTCCACTTACTACACAGACATGACTGTTCGAAAGAAATGCATTGATCATGATTGCCGTTTAGGTGTTGTCACAGACAGTAATCTCTATGCTCAGAACCTGAGATGATACAAGCTGTAGTTATGCTTGCTAGAAAATGTTTTGTTTTTTGTTTTTTTTTTTTGTGATTTTTATTATATGCTACTTAAACTATACATTTGTGAGTATAGCAGTTTTATTTAGCTGTGATGTTGATGAATATTTATGTAAAAAAAAAAAGAATATTAAGACTGTTCCATTTTAAAACATTAAAGCTTACACATGCTATTGTTAGCCTTGGGCTGTGTGGTTAAACCAAAATGTCTTTGATATGTACTGTATTTGTATTCGATTTGCCTTACCATGAGCTTAATAACACTGTAAAGTGCACTGAAAATGAGGCATATTGTAGACGCCGATTTGGTCACGTATTATGTATTGCACTAAAGAGTCAGAACAAGCAACATTTCAGCACCATTCACACATTCACATACGCAGTCCAACTGAGGACATCTATCAATGCACTTGGATATGGCTCAGGCTTTCTGATCATCTGATCATACCTGCGTGAAGCTGAACTCCAGGCACATATATGAAAAAAGCATTGAATGCAGTTATAAAAGATCATTAAAGTGATTGCAAAGGTTCCTATCTTATTTTTTTTAAATTTTAAAGATGTAATACTTACATGGTCTGTGTAATGGTTTTGCATAGTGCAGCCCCAATCTTCCTCTTTTGGGGTTTCCTGCTGGCACTCCTGGCTACTCCTGTTTTCCAAGTATCCCCATAGCAAGCCTTTGCTATGGGAGCACTCTTGCGGGCTCTATCCGGAGCCACACAGTGTGCATCTATTGACACACACAGTTCAGCTCAGCCACGTCCCCAATGGCTCCTGCTGCTCTCACTGAGTCCAGTGATGGGGGAGAGAGAGAGAGCAGCAGTGCTGCTTTTGGGCACAGGATTGGGATCAGGCTCAGGTAGGTATTTAGGGGGGAACAGAGGGGAGCTGCACATAAAAGATTTTTTATCTTAATGCAGAGAAAATTAAAGAGAAGCTACAAACTCCCCCAAAAAATACAGTATTTGGAGCTGCTGACTTTTAATATAAGCACACTTACCTGTCCAGGGGTCCACGCCGTCATCACTCGGACTAGTTTTTCACTAGCCTCCAGGTTCTCAGTGCCAGCATTGCAAGTAAGGGAAACATAATCTGCAGGGTGGAAGGGGGTGGGTGAAGTGTCAAAAACAGGTAAAAAAAGTGCCAAATGGCAATGGAGGGGGAAGGGGAGGCGGAGGGTGAGGGTGCAAACAAGCGGAGCTTCCCTTTTTGGGGGAGATCCGCTTTAAAGTGAGAAAAAACCTTTTAGCCTTTACAACCACATGATTTTTTTTAAACAACTGGTATGAACATTGACCTTTACTTGATATAAGCCTATTGTAATCATTTGTACAGGAGAACTTAAGTTGGCCATAGATGAATCGAAATTTGGCCAGTTCAGCAGGAAGTGGGCAAATTTCTATTCTTCTATGGCCATTCCTGCTCCAGAGAGAAGTGAATCTAACGATCAGCTTCTCTCGAACGAGACTGTTGGAACATTTTCACGTGATCAGCGCATACAGCCAAACAGAGCTGCAGCGATGATCGGTGTATCAATGTATTCTGATGTCATCGTTGCCAGAATGCAATAGTGCAGCAGCGAGGTTTCCTCCATTCACCTTGATAGTGTGGGTGAGGGAATCCTTTGTGTTTTTTCTTCTTTTTTTTTTTAATCAGTTAGCCAGCTGGCTGTTAGATCTTTCTTTTTTTTTTATCTATGGCCAGCTTAAGACTGAAAGAGAAAATGGCAGCACAAGGGGCAAATCAGGTAACCTGCATGCACATGCGATCATAATGAACATGCTCACAGGAGCAAATAGCTGCGTTTTCAGGCAAGGAGATGATTTTTCTGTACTGTTTAACGGCAATAGAGAAAAGTCATGTAGGCTGTGTAAACTTGCATAAGATCTATAAATTCACTGATAGTTAAAACTGCTCCCATATGTGTATTTCAGTGATGTATTGCTGTTTACCTGGAGTTCAGCTTTAACATGCATTTTCCTGTGCCATCATATTTCAGATTCTTAAACATTTACCCCCAAGCTACACGATACACCCAGAATTCATTAATCCTGTGTGTACTTAATGGAAATGTTAAATATACTATTTTTATTATGAAAAGAAAAAAAACTATTTTCATTTCAGGTCTTTCTAAAATATTTTGTATTACTATTTAATAATATCCTATTCTAGCCAGTATGCTGTCTTCAACATTTTCCTAGATAATCATAACTGCTTTGCTGAAAAAAAAATTCCTTGTTTAGGCCTCATTCACAAAGTCAAAACACCGGTGTACAAATGTTACAAACCATTAAGGCAAGGAACCTAATGACCATTAAATATATCCATTTTTTTAATGTGTAAATAATTTCATGTTCTTATTTTCAATGATGTATACATGCAATCAGACACAGATTTGTGGATTCTGAAGACAGTGCATTTTTACACAGCTGCGTGAATGCCTCCATTGAAAACAATGCAGCTGCATTCAGATCCATAAATAAAAAATAGTGCTAAATGTGTTTTTTTTTTTTTTTTCTTTACGGCCGTGTGAAGGCGGCCTTACATTGCTCATTGTTTGAAGCTCAGCTTAAACACACGGCTGAATAAGTCAGAAAAAACCCATATGCTCAGCAAGGCTCCATCTCAGGCTCTGACCTATAGGTCGGCAGAAAACAATGTATGCTGTGCTCTCTAGTTAGAAAACCCCTAATGCAAAAACAATTGAAAACAGAGGAGTATATGTAGATGTGTATAATGTGTGTGTATGTGTGTATATATATATATATATATATATATATATATATATGTGTGTGTGTGTGTATATATGTGTGTGTATGTATATATGTGTGTGTCTATTGAAAGCAGCACTCCATTTTGCAGATCAATGAGTTGTTTCTGTTTTGTGTATGGATGTATGTATATGTATAAAACATATATATATTTATATTTGTGGGGTTTATTTTTTACCAGTGAACACAGTGCATTACATAGGGGAACATAGTGAAGGATCTTTCAATAGAACATCCTGTATGTCTTACAATGAGCCCTTGTTTATAACAGAACCCTTCTTCTGCTGTATGTGAAGATGTGATCTCCCTGCTCTCTGCTGGGTTCTGAGTCTGTAGGGAAAGCTCAAATCAGCCTGACATAAGCCTGCAGAGAATTTTTGGTTGCTGCATAACCAGGGCTTTAAAATGTGTATTCCACCCACGGGATGGACCCGTTATGGCAAAGAGATTTCTTGTGTTTCCCTAAAAGTAAATGGTGTGATTTTAATTGAAGGAACAATTTGTGGAATGCAGTATTCTGAAACAATGTAGTAGTGTGCTAGTACTGCAGCTTTCATTTCATTATATATTTTATTAGGTTTTCAGAAATAAGAGATGAATATGCAAGATTATTAACTCTTTGAAAGCTTGCAGCAAGCGTTGCTTGGATTTACTTAGGGATTTTTAAATCTGTAAAGAATTTTTTATATTTTGTAGTCTATAACATTAAGGGTTTGTACATTTACTTTGAAAGCTGAACTTCAGGCAGATACAAAACACCAATTAACATAGCAAATTATTCATTAAATGTATTTTTAAATACAATTAGTGTACAAAAACTAGAGGTGCGGGGAGTCTGATTGCATACTGGAGCCTTGGCATGTAACAAGGGAGGTATGTATATTATTTTATGCTTTTTTGTAAGTGTACACTTGTGGCGTGCAGTTCAGAAGAAAGAACCAGTAAGGCTTTATGCATACCAGGCATTTTAAATGCCACTTTTAGAACCATTTTTCTTTTTTTCTACCCTAAAAGCCCCTCAATGTTGGCCTAGGTGTACACATAGGCATTTATAGGCGTTTAGAGGCAAAAAAAAAAAAACCCCAGAGCCAGCTCATTCAGGAAAGGAGCAGTCCAGTGGCAAAGAAATTCTAAAGGTTTCTAAATATGTTTTAGCCCTAGGTGTGTCAATCCCTTGAGTGTTCATTCATTACAGTGACCAAGATAAATGAATAATCTGACCAATGGAAAGAGTGAACACCCAGGCACTTGATGCACCTATAGTCTTTAGGTGCGTTTTTGACACTGATTTTTTTCCTCCCCTGGAGCATTGGCATCCAGGGGAGAAAAAAAAATTGTCCTGTGTGCATGGGGCCTAAAAGTTGTGCAGGACCAAGAAAATCAACACTCCTGGAAGTGTTGGTTACCTGGTGGACTTGGGAGGCAAACAGCACAGGCGGCAGTAGATGTACATTTTTTGTTAGTTATTTAATCTGCAGTGATGCAGAAAAACCCTTTAGTGAACAAAGTACATGTGACCACACACAAAAAAGTACACTTAAGGGTGTGCCTTTGTTAGTCCCCCGAAGGGGTAGGACGTTACCCTGAACCCCTGGGGCGCAAGGCTCCTGATGGGGACAAGGTTTTGAACTTGGTCCACCCAGCCAAAAGGCCTGGGGGAGCCCTCTCTTCATGGTCAGCCAAAGCCAACCACGGAGTACTGGGTCGAGGGATAGTCCTTAGGACCCACACCCTCCATCTAGTGAAAAAATATGCACCAAAGTTCCGAAAACCTGTAGAAAAATTAATTAAATAAGTGGCCGTGCAATTGTGCACTGGCTAGGACCTGAGGCCTGGTAGCAAACATTGCCCTGGACTTAGCCAAAAGTCCTAGCCCACAGAGGCGCAGTGTAGAAAACGTTTTAGTGCCATGACTATGTGCCCATTCACACTGTGGGTTTCACACACCCAAGTGCTACTAAGAGCACCCCTGGGGTGACCACTACCAGGGAGCACAGACAACGCGGACTCTCTGCTTTCCCAGCCCATGGCCAGACAAGGTAGACATGCTCAAATCAGGAGAGCCCCTCCAGTTTTCCT